CAGAATCCAAAGCAGGCTCCAGGCTCTGAGCTGTCAGCACAGAGCCCAAAGCCAGGCTCGAACTCATGAACTGTGAGATCATGACCTGAGCCAAAGTCGTACGCTCAACCAACTGAGGCACCCAGGTGGCCCTGAAGATGGTTATAATTATTCTTAAAACCAACAAGACCATTTCTGACCAAGAAGATAATCCATGGGGACACCGGCCTTGGCTGCGAGGGAGACCTGTGGACAGAAAGCAGGGAAGGCCAGGAGAAAGGAACAGAAAAGGGCTCTAGAAATCAGGGCAAGAAGGAGCTCCTGCAGCTGGTGGGAGAGGAATACTATGAAGAAGGCATGACTGAGCTGGCCGTGAGAGACAGGGAGGATTTCTCCAGCTGGAGAGGGGTGAAGAGACGCACCCCCTCATCCCCCCCCCCACCCCCCATGGCAGAGACAGCACAAGCAAAGATAAGAAGGTGAAAGCTTAGCATGGCCTCAGGGGACTGTGAGCATCCAGATGGGCAAGAGCGCACTGAGCCGGTCACAAGGGCCCTGAAAGCCAGGCCCCAGGGATTAAAATTCAGAATCCAGTCCAAGATTCAAATAAGTAATTAGGGTGGTGATCTGCTGTAGAACCTCTCTCCATTCTGCTCCATAATGGTGGCAACTTACCATCCTGCAAACATTGTGCCCGTTCTGAATGCTCGCCAGGGAGGCTGAGGAGACGGCTGCCTTCTCTTTCCTCCACACAGAGCCCTGACTACAGCTGCCCTAACTGGTTTCCCCAAAACCGAGGGTCCAGGGGAGACGCGGAGAATCACGAGTCAGCTAACTCTGGCCCACCTTTAATCTCTTCTTATTTCACTCCACATAACAGGTGGACTGTCTTGAGTACCCGCTCTGCTGAGCCAGGCTGAGAGGACTCTGTCCGAGGCCCCCGTAAGATGTGCATGGCCCAGGGTCTGTGACAGTCCCGAATTCCATTTCATCCCATTTCATCCCATCACAAATTAACACGCACCTCACAGGCACTGAACACCCGGCCAGGTCGGCAGCCACAAGCCAATTGTGGGACCCTGCCTGATAGCCTTCCAGGCCCCCCAAACTGAGAGCACTCCTGTGGGCCCCTTGAGGCCCAAATCACTGTCATTTCCCTAACACGTGAAACACATTCCCCCCCAACACCCAGAGACAGTCTTATGAAACAACCATGTCAAGAGCAAGAAAAAGTTCTTGCTAATAACAGTGCTAAGAGAAATCCCCTTAACATATTTAACCATGAAGACCAAGATTGGACAAGGAATCCTACTGACAAAATAAATACATCCAGTGTTGAGGCGAGCATGACTTAGCATGGTCGTACTCAACCATGCTGGTCATTCTCGAATCAGGTAAAACTAAGTGAACATAAAAAGGAAAAAGCTTTCGGAGCATTCGGGAAGGAAGCAGTATCTTCTGCGCTGAGAGAAGCAGGGAGACACAAAGGGACACGGTGTCTTGCTCACTGGCCCTGTGTAGCCTTGTCTGCTGGGAGGGAGGACCTACTCCAGAGAGGGGCTGCTCCCTGCGGAAGGTGGAAGGCCCAGAAGCCCCATCTGGAGAGAAACCGAGGTCTGGCTTCCGGGCAGTCATTCCCTTAGGCTGGGTGGAGGCTGAGTTTTGCCAGTCAAAGGCACCCAGATGTCCCGCTGCGGCTTCCCGGGTATCAGAAAAGCAAGGCAGTGCCCGCAGCTTCTCGTCCAGCTCCGTAAGCCCCAGACCGCCACTTAGGGTGTCCACCCTTCAGCTTGTTGGAGATTCCAGAAGCAGCTGCTCCTGTATGATCTAGGAGTCAGTCAAAAGACCCAGCCTAACACCTGCCCCTCCAGCCCCTCCAACAATATTGTATACACCTAATCCCAACATTCAACCCCTTCTGCTTAAAATACCTGGAGTGGTTTCTGATTCCCACACTAACCCCGGGTTCATAAACTACCCAAAAACCCACGCAAGCTCAAATGCCACAGCAACCACGGTAGAAGTGCTTCTAGGAGCATTGCTATTTAAAGGAGCAGTGCACAACTCACTTTGTCAAGCGGGGACTGGTAAGTGCACAGTGAGGCTCTGGAGGAGGGCCTTGCATGTGTCATCTTAGAGCTAGGGAGGTGGGGAGGGGCGAGAGGGGGCAGGTCTGAGTGGCAGCAGAGGTTTGGAGGTGGGATGGCAGAAGGTGCATCCAGGCTGGTCGGTGCCAGGACCAGGGAGGGTGCAGGTACCTACAGGGTGACTGGTAGCGTTTCCTCAGAGTGCGAGAAGATACCATGGGGGACGTGTGGTGGAAAACGAGAAGTTGAGGTGGTGGCCAGGCTCAAAAGAGAAAAGTTGAAACCAGGTGACAGAGGCAGGGATGAGGAGCCGGAGCACGGGAAGTGGCGGGGAGCTGAGATCACGGCAGCTGGAGCATCTGTGTGAAGCCACGAATGGAGCCGGGGCCGATGGAGCAGGTCGTTGAGTGCTATGAGCCTGCTGAGATGTAAGGCTACGGGAGAACCAGCTGGATCTGGGGATACTGACTGTTTTTAAACTGAGGTGTCCCCGTCACACGGAGCGGGTGCAGTATTTTCTTAGGTGACATGCACGAACAGACCCAGGATCAAGGGACGAGAACCTACCCTCCTGTGAACTGAGTAGATCCACCGGACTGGATCTACCAACACACCTAAAACATTCGCACCTGCAGCGCAACTTCTAGGCACGTTCTACTAGATACTTTCTCTCCCAGTTTCAATCAGAGTGCTTTAGGCCAGTGCTTCTCAAACTTCAGTATGCAGACCAATCATCTGGGGGTCTTCTGATTTAGTAGGTCTGGGGTGGGGTCTAGGATCCCGCAGACCATACCGTGAATAATCAGGCTTTAAGCTTCGTAAACATCAGTCAAAATCTGAGCTACTTACGACGTGTTACTAAGTGCCACTCTGCCAAGCTTCTCTGCTCCCTATTTCACAGATGCAGATTTCACATGGGCAAGAAGTTCAGTAATTTGCTCAGGGCCAACAGCGGAGAAGTCGCAACTAACCCACAGGCCAGCCTATCAGCGCTCACCTGCTTACAGCTTCATTTTCTGCTTTCCCCTCACCCGTACCCTGGGATCCTTGGGGGAATGTGACATAATATCTCATTCCCATGGACTCTTAAAACAGTGCTGGGGGTGGGTGGGGTGGGGTGGGAAGGGGAACAGAAAACCAACTGTCACCAGGACCAGGGGAAGTCTGTTATGGGAACACCCGTGCTTGCTGGCTGAACCAGCACACGAGAACAAGGAATCTGCTGGTCCCGTCCCCAGGGATCCTGAAAGAAAAACAGGCAGAAGATATAAACAGGTAATTCATGGACAAGCAATGCAAATGGCAGATAGTCATATGAAAAGATGCTTGGACTCCACAGGAGTCAGAGAAACAAAAGTCAGAGCAACAATGAGACATCACTGTCTACCCATCAGACCGGCGAGCACTAACAAGGAAGTAACAATGGTGTGGGGATGGGGGAAGGGGTACTCTCGCCAACTAAAATGAGAATTATTGTATTTTCTTGGGAGAACAATCCGGAAACATCTATCAAAAATAAAAAATATCATACCCTTCAGCACAGCACTCTTACTCTTGGAAATCTCTTCCTAGGAAATAAAAGTGGTAGCTCATGCAAGGTTTATAGAGGTTTATGGAGATAGTCATCTATATGTAAAAAAAACAAAACAAAAACATAAAACAAAAACTGAGACAAAGTGAATGCCTACCAGTGTAAGAATGAATGAATAAAATATGGACTGTCCCTTCCATGGAATAAAAAGAATGAATAGGTAGCATTTGAGTTGACTTGGAGGGACTTTTCTATGGAGAACGGATGAACGAGAAAAGCAATATGCAGTAAATATGACTAATATCCCATTTTTATAACACCATGTCTTATTTTACAAAGCTTGTACACATAGCAATGTTTATGTGTGTTGGAGAACTGTACAATTCTTACAAGCATAAACAGAAGTATGGAAGGATTCCAAGTTATCACAATGAGTTATTTAGTGTGGTGCTCACACAGGGAAGCGAGGGAAATAAACAAAACCCACGCACGCACGCACACGCACCCCCATCCCTGCGCCAATGAATGACGAATGATGAGAAGGTCACAATGTGGGGAATGCTTGCTGTCCTCTAGTCCACACTTCTGGCAGAGTCCTGCTCTGCCAGGCTGCTGTTTTCAGCCAACGGCTCCTACTGCCTGTGAGGTATGAATCTGGAAGTTTGATGCCATGCATTCTTTCCTCTACCAGGAGTCCACCAGAACTGCCACCAGTGATGACAGCAAGATGCACTTCAACTCAGCTCTTCTCTACAGAAATCACTGAGGGCCTTTTGGCTACCATCCTCATAACTACCCAGGGAGACTGAGGCTGAGACCAAAAGCATGGGCCCCACGTGGTGAGGGTGGTCAGTGGCCTGCTCTTTCCCTGATCGTCGTCTTCTTTTGGGGTGCCTCCCCAGGGCCCCGTTCCAGATTGGCTCAGAAAGTCCCATTTCTCCCTGGGGACAGCTGTCTCTAAGTGGCCACGATCACGGGCCAAAAGTATAAAGGGAAACGATGGTCTCATTTCCCACTCAGGGCTAGAGTTGCCATTCCCTGGACCCCATGTCTCAGCCTGCCCATCAGAGGAATGGAACTTTCCAGAGAAAATTCACTCTGCTCAGGACAACATACTCTGTTTTCTGTTTCTTGTACGGAGTTCCTTTTTTACACTGTGCTGAATTTCAGCTACCTTAAAGCCTCTACCCTCAGATACAAGTCCTACCCCCGGAGCCACAAGGAACAAGTGTATTTCCTCTCTCGCATGAGGACGGCGATAATGTCCCCCGCTCCACCATGTTTTCTCTTATCTTGACTAAACATCCCCATTTCCTTTGACTGGTGCTGAGCATACATCTCGGGCATTTCCTGATGGCGGGTCCAGTTGTCACTCCTCCAGTGCAACACGATGATCTCGAGAGGATACAGGCTAAGACCCCAAATGTCCAAGCCCTGTACCATCTCTAGCGGGATGGAGATACGGGCAGGATGGGGAGGAAGGCGCTCCCAAAGCCGGCCCCGTTTGCTCAAGAGCCCTGCTGTGAAGAATGCGAAAGAAGCCCGCCGCTGCTGTGCCGACACAGAGGACTGGGCCCAGCATCCACGCCGGGCTCCAGACACCTGTCTGGCCAGGACTTCGGTAAGGAGGGCCACGCAGATCCAAGCCGTGGCAGGAGGATTGGGGAAATGCAACTCAAGAAGGCAAATGAACACCTTGGCTCCCCTACAAATGTCTCCAAAGGGCGGTGGGCTGTGGTGGGGGCGCAATTCAGAATGAACCAGTTCAGAACTGGAGAGACCTGGGCCTGGAGTGCGTAGGCCGCAGTCCTGGAAATAGCTTTGAAGACAAAGACAGTAGGGGGTCCACAGTGGTTTAGAGTTTCCAAAGGAGCTGAGGTAGCTGCTTGAAGGATGGGCCTTGAAGGACGAGTCTTAGCAGGGTTCTAAGGGCGCGCTGTGTTCACAGAGGCTGTCAGCTGTTAGCGGAGTAACACTGGATGCATCATTTCTGTGCTTTGAACCTGGGTTTTGTCTCTGAGGGGCATGGAGGTTAACATCTACGTAATGAAACAGAAATAAGGGTCCGATAACAGGCATTACTACGCACAGGATGGATTGGTGCACAGAGAGGACTTTATTCATCCTGCTGAGGGTAGGCAGCTGAAGGTGGGTCTGGAAAGAGAGTTGCGTAGCTCATCACAAGGATGAAATTTCGCTATCTCTGGGTCATGGCCACTGAGCCACTTCCCACGACATGATGAAAAGAACGGCCTAGGGGCACCTGGGTGGCTCAGTCAGTTAAGCATCCCACTTCGGCTCAGGTCATGATCTCATGGTTCGTGGGTTCGAGACCCACGTTGGGCTCTGTGCTGACAGCTCAGAGACTGGAGCCTGCTTCCGATTCTGTGTCTCCCTCTCTCTCTACCCCTCCCTGTCTCAAGCTCTGTCTCTCTCTGTCTCAAAAATAAATAAACATAAAAGAAAGAAAAGAACAGCCTAGAAACCGAGTGAGAACTAGAGGCTATTACCAGTGCAAATATGGCCCACGTGGAGGAGGAGAGGAGAAGGAGCCTGACGCTGGGGGGAAGGCTCCAGAGACATTCCACCACAATCAGCTGGATGCTCCCAAAGGAGGGGAGGCCTCCAAGGGGCCAGCCAGCCGTTTCATCCTCGCTCCCCGCTCCCCGGAACAATGCTGAGTCTCCTGAATGCCTCTTTGTTCCATTCGGCACGAAAATCACAAACATTTTTTAACTACCCTGTATTTTTCTAGCTGTTTTTGTTCTTTTCTCAAAGGTCCTAAGATCACAGAAAGGCTTCCAAGCACAATAAACCTGCTCTGCACTTGAAGCAACAACACTGAGGGTTTCTGGTTGAAGGAGGGAAGGCCAGGAGGGGGGCCAGGGGTTCTTGTCCCCAAGCTCCCCCGGGACAGGAAGGTCCCACTGCGTCCACAGGATTCCTGCACGATGACTGGGGCACTTGCCACATTCATTTCTCCAGGATCAGATTCCAGGCACTGCACACGTGGTCTCTCTTTTCCCTCCGGAAAGGAGGAGCTGAGATGTCTACCTTCTGAGGCCTACCCCTCGGCCTCAGGGAGGGGATGGTCTGACTGAGAAGGACACAGCCCAGACGGGCAGCGCAGGGCCTCACCCCTCCCACTCTGACGCTGCAGCTGTCCCATCATCCTGGGGTGCCTTCCCTCCAATGCCACCACTGCCCCCTGCTGCTCAGATGCCCCCACAAAAGCCACAGGCAGGGTGGGCTTGGGAAAGAGCTTCGGACCGTGTGTGGAATCCTAGCTCCACACTTCCTGGCTCAGAGGCTGGTGCTGAGTGAGCGTGCAACCGGTCCGTGCTTCAGTCGTCTCATCTGGAAAATGGGGGTGATACTAATAATGATGACTGCAGAATTGCGGTGACGGTGAAAGAACATTCCACGAAGGTCCTTAGCAGGGTGCCTGGCACAGGGTGCACCCCAACAGGCGTTACCATTAGTACCAACAGAAGCTCAAACATCTCTGCGTTGCTCTGAGTTCCATGGGCTCCACTATTATTTCTCCAGGGTTCTCAGAGGAGTCGGGGCCCATGAACTAAAGCCAAAGTAGCAGCTGCTTTCATCGTTCTGCTTTCACTCAGGATTTCCATTCTCTGCGGCTCGGTGAGCGCCTACGAGGTGGGGTCCTGGAGGGCAGGACAGGTGAGAGCCTTCAGGGTGCTCGTGGAACTGAGAGGATGCAGAGAAGGTGTGTGGGTGGGGGTGGGGGGTGAAGGCCTGGGCAGGCACAGCTCCTCACACCAAGTCTCTTCTCCGGCCCCTGTTCCGGGGGGTCAGGGCTCTCGGGACTTGCTTCCCAGAGCCCCCCCCCCCCCATGGGTCCTGGGCAGCGCTCCCCTGTTCTGTGTGCTTTGCAAGGGGGTGGCCCCGGCTGAAGCTGGCCTACTGCCACCTCCTCCCTTGAGCCCCTCCCCCTGTGGCCTGAACACTGGGCAACCAAGGCACCCTCAGCTCAGCCAGCACCTGCCCTTAGAGACCCCACACGTACTGGAAGTCTCACCGTGCCACGCACAGGCCTTGGAGTTACCCAGAAGACCTAAGGCCACCAAGCCAACATGTGACCGTCTTTCCACCTGAGGGCGTGGGCAACCCTCCTCGCAGCCCAGCCTGGGCCCTGTCTCGCTGCATCTCCCTAAGGTTCTGGGCAGAAAGGCGGCCAACTACTATCCCAGCTTGATATTTAAAACAGAAAAGTTAGGAGAAAAGAGGTTCCCTCTGGTGCAGAGAAGAGGCCCGGAAAGCCCGGGTCCCTGCGTCCAGAACAGATGAAGCGACATCCGGGACTGCCTGGCTTGCCCCATCTCTGCCCCTTTACCTTCCCTGGGCCCTCACCCCCGAGATCCCATAGAGCACAGCTGCCCGGGGCATTCGCTCCTCTGCTGAAGAGCCCCTGAAGGCTGCTTGGCTACACAGCCTCCACTCACTGTCCCATCTTATCTGTCCCTGCACCTCACTGTAAAACTGGAATGTTCTCTGCCCCTTAAACCTGCTCCATACTTTCTAACCACTGGTCCTGGGTCGGAGAACAAAACCCCAAACTGGAAAGGCAGAAGGCTCTGCAGGAAAAACAGGGAAGGGGTGACGGGCGGCACATGCTTCATCCTAGCTCAGCCACCAGAAGGTCCTGTGACTGCGGACAAGGGCCACCCCTGTCTAGGCCTTGATGTCCTCATCTATAAATAGTCGGTGCTGGGCCCAGTCATCTCTAAAGCACTTCTAGCACTGAGAGTCCGCGAGCAACCCCAGCCTCCAGGGCCTTGGATGTCATCGCCCCACTCCACACAGATGGGTTCCGCCCCCTGGCCCTGGCCCCGCCCCATCCCCTCCCCCCCTACCCCTGCCCTCCAGGCTCCAGGGCAAGGTGGAAATGCCTTCTCAGGACCTAGCCAGAAAGTACCCTATGCCCCAGCACCCCACAGCCAGGCCCAGCAGAGCCCGACAGGCTGTAAAGGGCTGGTTCCAGTGGAGTCTAGTCTGTCCGAGGGGACAGGGGACTGAACAGACGACAGCCAGCACTAATCACCACAAATGAGCAGAGAGGCTGAGAGAAGGAGGGAGGAGGCCCAGCTCCTGCACCTCCAGCTTCTTGCTGGCGCACAACAAACCCACCTCACAGCCCCCTAGGTCTAAGAGCCAGGACAGGTGTGTGCTACCCCTGGCATCACAGAGCCACAGGGGCGAAAGGACATCTGGGGTCCGAACCTCACGGTGCCTGGGACCGTCTGCAGCACTCCCAGAAAGAGACACGCTTGCTGTGCTGATGCAGCGGGATGGGCTGGGAAGGACATGGGGCCGTGAGCCAGGAGGCCTGGGTACTGGCCCGGCTCTGCCTCGAACCAGCTGGGTGACCTTGAAAGAGTCACTTTTCTCTGGTCTCATTTTCCTACACTGAAAAATGATGGAGTTGGAGGAGATGATTTCTGTGTTCCCGGGCAGCTGTGACATTCTGTAATTCTACTAAATGGGAATGAGAATCAGATCTAATCAGCTAGAACTAATTCAACCAATATTTTTAGGTACCTCTAACTTGCAAAAAAAAAAAAAAATCCTTTTTTTTTTTTTTTTTTTCTGAATGGCTGGGGATGCTACAGAGCAACCTTGGAGAGAAGAGTGGAGGGGGCCCACCCACCCATCACAACAGGTAAGTGCTCCCTCACCCCAGCATAAGGGGCTTGCCGGCAAGCCCACCACCTCTGAGCTGATAGAATTAGAGTGGGATTAACCTATATCAATCTTCCCTCCTCCAACTGATGAGGCTTTGGGGATTCTGGGAGAGCGCAGAGATGCCACTGCCTGAGTCATTAACATCTGTAACATATCAGAGCACTCTCCCTGGAACATCTCTGGAAGCAGAAGACAAGTGAGTCCCAAGGGCTGGAAGGCCTGGGTCTGAGGGAGCTCGCTGGCTGAATTATTAATGGGACTCTGAATACGGCTCCAGTTTCCCATGACAGATGGTTTTGCGAGCTGATAGTTCTGAGGCCAATTAAGAATGATTGTGGATTCTGAGGCAGTGGCACCACCAGCGAGTGTCTTAAAATGTCTCCAGAACCCGCTGCAGGAAATGCAGTCAGCCGTCTCCCCGGACACTGGCGTGATAATCGCAAAGGAGGAAGCACAGCCGAGTGCCGCAGGGTCTGAGGCCACTGCCCCACACTGACTTCTGCCCCCCAGCCCAGAGCATCACCAGAGCCCTGAGGACAGAGGGCTAGAGTAGGTCTCTGGCCCCACCGGTTCTGTGGGGTCTCAGAGCCTCAGGAAAATGGGTGCCATGAGACAAAAAGGAATCTGGGTTCAACAAAGCTAGGCCAGATTGTGTACTTTAGGACTTCTGAGGACCTTTACGATGCTCTGGGAACCTAGAAGAGGAAAATAAAATTTACATATTTATATAAAATAATCAGTTTCCCAAACTCATTTCATCATGAAATCCTTTTCTCCAGGACATCTCCTGGATTGGTATTCCATGGAACTCACCTTAAGAAGTGTGGCCCTAGACCAGAGGCCCCGATTTATAGATGAAGAGACAGAGGGCCAGAGTGGTCCCATAGTGAGCCAGAGCACACAGTCCTTCATGCTAAACAGTAATGTTCCAGGTGCTTTAAGGCAAACTCCACTTCTTTCTCCAGGAGCTGACAAGATACCTGGGGGCTGAAATGCTTCTGGGAAAAGTATGGATATGAGTCCAGGCCCCAGGACCCACCTGGAGGGGAATAGTTTGCTGCAATAACAGCAGGAGCGAACCCTGAGACCTTCTGGCTTGGCGCAGAGTAACACTTTTGTTTTCCTGATAATAATCTGCTTAATGTTTTTATTTCTCCCCTGCTAGTCCGTGAACTCTACGGAGCAGGGACCACATCTGTTTTATTCATGACTGTGTCCCCAGCCCCTGGCGCAGGGCCTGCCAAACAGATAGCACTTGGCAACTATTTGCCGACTGATAGACTAACAAGCACATGCCTTATTATCTACTTCCAAGAATCCAAAACACCTTCCAAACGAGTCCTCTTGTTTCCAGATGTAGGAGCCCCATGGAGAAACAGACACGAAGCATTCTTCGGCACCGTGGGGCTGCCCCTGTCGCCTGGGGATGTGGTCAGCCAGGCTCTAGGGGTCTCGGCTCGCACTAGAACTGCCCAAAGTATGGAAGAGGCTGGCTCCAGAAAGGCTGGAGTCTCAGCCAGAGCTGGAACGACCTTTTCTGGATGTAAGCCACATCTGCATTTCCTATCAATGACGTAGGGTGAGCAAGGCAGCCTTGAGTTATGTGAAATATGGCGGGGAAAACAGATGCAGTACGAATCAATGGCATCCCAGCTTATTTTAGGCCAATCCCAGGGTCCATTCACTTATTACACATTTACTAAGTAGTCACTCATGAGGAGGGGGTTGGAAAAAAGAACCCGGTGCCTGCCTTCAAGAGGCTAATAGCCTAGAATGAGATAAAAGATGGATAGAGAAATAACAATGTAACAAGGCAGGCAGTGATGTCAGAGATATACAGATAAACTCTTCCCGAAGAACAGGATAAGAAGCACGATTTTGACAGAAAGTTGCAGAGGTATTAAATTTGGGTCCTGAAAAGTGATGCTTTAGGCCTCTGCCTCTCCCAAAACTTTGGCCAGAACCGTCCCAGAAAGGCGAGGGATGAGGTGAAGGGGAGGGCAGCCTGGAGCTGGGCTCCTTTCATTCCCATCTCTTTCCTCCGGGGCTCAGGAGTGAGTCAGGAAGCAGCCCGTGGAATGGGAGGGTCTTCAGCGGGACTGTCCACAGAAGGGGGGCAGGTGGGAACACGCAAGCTGGGGTGGGGTGGAGGACGAGGGGCAGAGCTCAGGGCGAGCAGCGGGGACTGTGCCCGCTATCCTCCAGGCCACCTGAGTCAAACCTCTTGAGGCGGGCGCGATCCCCAGGCAGGGCCCCAGCGGTCAACCCTGGGCAGTGCCAGATGGTCCTCAAGCTTCCCAGTGCAAGTCATTCCAACAACGTGAAGAAATCACACTGCTTTGCAGCTGAAATCTCGCCTGAAATAAACTGAAGCGTCTATGATCAGAATGTGCAGCCGGGAGTGGGATCAGACCTAAAGGCCCTGGTGGTGCCCATCTGGCCCATCTGGTGGGGGCGGAGGGGGGAGCAAACCCCAGCATGAGGGAAGTTCCAGGAGTCACAGCAGTTTCTGTCCACACACCTCAGTTTGACGACAGCATGACTAGCCAGGAAAGTGGCCAGAGGGCGGTTGTGGGCAAGACAGAGAGCACCCAGTCTCTGAGTTTTTCCTTTCAGTCCCCGCCGCAGTGGTGTCGTCTCAGAAGGGACAGTGAAAGTGGGAGGCTTGCTTGCTTCTGCTTGGAAGGGTGTCTGGAGATAGAAACAGAAATATGGGGCTCCTGCTCCTTGAGGGTTTAATACAATCATTGGGCCCCATAGGCTAAACCAAGGGTGGCCTTTATTATGAACATGAACACTGAGTACCCATGAATAGGACAGACCCAGGGGAAGACAGGCCTGAGGGGGGCCGGGTGTACAAGGGACACTTTTTCAAGAACTGAATACACCTTCTTGGCCACGTAGGATCCTAGGCTGGACACAGAGGAGAAGGGTCTCAAGCAAGGGCACGTCCATGGTCCCGGCCAGCCCTGAGATGGTGAGAGTGCTGGGTCCACAGTTCTCTGTGGGTTGGTTTCTGCCCGTCTCCTGACCGAAGTCCTATGGGATGTGTGTGTGGTAGGGGGAGGGGATGGTTTGGAGTGGAGCCTAAGAAAAGATGACAGTGTGTGAGCTGATCCTAAAAAGCAGGAGAGGAGAGAAAGAGACAGAAAAGAAGGAGAAGCCAACCTAACAGTGCAGTATCAAGAGCTGCTGCAGGCACGGGCGCGCGCTCCAGCCAGGACCCAGACCATGTGCAGACGCCTCTGGGAACTGCCCTCCAAATGGGCGCAAGTTCGGATGGAGCACCCGACCTCCAGTTCCCATGCCCCACGGGTGAGGGCTGCCGTGGGGGCGGCGTTCAACATCCTCTCCCACTTCTGGGCTGGTCACAAGGACGGCAGTGGTGGGGAGGGGTCCCAAGGCCAAGACACCGTAGCTGCAGCTGAAGCAGGAGCTGACCGCCATGGTATGTATCACCTGTTTCACTACGTATCTTCCCCTTCCTGGCCTCGAAGAAACTAACTGCTGAGCGAAGTCTTCAATCAGAGCAACTAAAATATCTTAGTTTTTACTTGCTCTTCCTACATCTTTTACATCTTTTATTTATTTATTTTTTATTTTAACATCGCCTAGCTCTCCTTTATCAGACGCCACCTTAAAAATCTTTGCCAAGTACGTGGGGGCTAAGGGAAAATAAACACACAGGTACGTAAATAAACAAGTCAATCAATAAATACAATTTAAATAGAAACAGACACACAAATAAACACGATTTAAATCAATCCATCAAACTCTGTGAATTAAAATTGTGATTCAAGCAACCTCTCGCAAGCTCACGGCAGCCCTGGAGACCACTTCGAAAGCCACCAGGGAGTACCGCAAACCACATGTAGGAATTCTGCTCGGAGAATGAAAACTCCCAACGGTGACTGATGGCCACATCATTCACACTCACACACACACACACCCTCCAGAAGCTTATTTTTGAACTTCTCTTTGTCACAGACCTTCCCTGAGCAAGCCCGTGTGGCTTTCTTTTTCTTTTCTGTCTTTCAAGCGAGTCGTGTTCTACTCCTAATTCACGACGTGCAGCCTGAGGCAGGGTAAGAGCTGTCCGGGCCCGGCCCCAGGAAGCCACACCAACAACGTGGGCAAGGGCTCAGGCGTGTGTTCACCCGCCCACCCCCTTGACACTGGGTGGGCCTGTGGATGCAGACACGGAGAGAGCTGAGAGCGCCCTGCCAAAGGCACGACAGAGGTCGCCTCCCCGCTGGGAGCGAGATGGGTCATCTGCTCTGCATTCACTCCGTGAACATGCATGGGGACTGTGTGCCAAGCGTTGTGTCGAGTGCTGGAGACATACAGGGGACAGAAGACACAATTCTCCCTCTCCAGGAAGGAGCTCACGGATTTGCACCGGACCCTCCGACTCTGACATTCCTCGGTGCTGGGACGGCCTTGGCAAAGGCCGCACAGGACACAGCGAGCTCCAGGGAAGGAAGCGCGCAGGGACGGAATGTCCATGCTAAAGAGGGAGGGGAGGTGGCGGAGCAGGCAGCCAGGCAGCATCCCTCTCCCTGCCCTCAGTCAGGTGCCAACCATGCCCTCGCTGGAGCAGCACAGTTTAACGACAACGCTGTGCCGTCTGCTGCCGCGGCCTCTCAGGAGGCCTCGTTCCGCCCTGGTCGCCCCTCGTGGCAAGGGATGTGATTTTCCTGTTTGGGTGTGATGCGATGAACATGCCGTACGGCCCGGGGACCGAAAACCCTCAGAGAGAAGCAGAAAGAGCCCTTTCAGCTTCCTGTGCAGCGCTCTGCAACTCGGGTATGGCGGCCGGCGGCGGGACCACATTACAGAAAGTTCTCCCTGTGGGTTTTCTGAACGAGGCTAAGAAATTAAATGAAGAGGGCGCCTGGGTGGCTCAGTCGTTAGGCATCTGACTTCAGCTCAGGTCATGATCTCATAGTTCGTGAGTTCAAGTCTCACATCGAGTGAGCACGAGCCCTGCTTTGGGTAAAACACGAGCCCCAGTATAGCCTCACTTATCTCTCTCTCTCTTTCACTCTCTCTGTCTCTCTGTCCCTTGTGGGATTCTCCCTCTCTCTCTGCCCCTCCCTCTCTCTTTCAAAGACATTAAAATTAAAATTAAATGAAGAGGGCCTGAGAACTACAGGTGGGGAGAAATGTGAAGTACCGGGATGGGGAGCACCTTCTGGAAGATCTGATTTACAAAAAGCCTTTTCCAACACAGCTCCCCAGTAAATCCAAATGTCCAGAGATTAGTGCCCAAAAGGCCTTGGGAAGGCGGGCACAATGCCAAAATGGAAAGCTAAGCCCCTGGAATTCTCTGGACAGATGATCAGAAATCAATTCGGAAGCATCTCTGAAATGATCATGTAAAGCATCGAAAGGGGTCATCATGCAAATGTGTCACCTCCCACCACGAAGAACGTCAGGGTATCAGAGCTGGAAGGGAGCTTAAAGACAAGTAAACCTACCCCCTTGAATAGACAGTTAGTGAACTTGGGGTTCAGAGGAGTGAAACAGCCTGGCGTGCAGGAGCCCCGGGCCCACGAAGGCCTGCGAGCCGTGACAGGGCCAGTGAAGGCAGACTGCGTGTGGCCACGCTGCTGGCTGATTCGGGAACACCTGCCACTTTCTGGCACGTGGTCCAGGACCGGCCGCTCAGCGAAGCTCTCCCCAGGAGGCAAAGGGCCAACCAACACCCGTGTAGCGGCCAGTGCCTCCTAGCGCACACACAGGCATCGCCGCCTACTAGGGTGTCCACGCCAGAACCCTGAGTGGCATCCTTGACCTAGTGCCCCATCCTCCTGCTACTTATCCCCCTTACACCTCATCCCCACCCCAGGCATTCATGCCTTCACTCCTCTGCAATCTGATCTCCGTCATGCAGCCGACTTGACCTTCCAAAAGGTAAAGTGAAACCGAGCCTTCCCACCCTGCCCCGCTCTACAAGATAAGTCCAGACGCCGTGCGTGGCTTGCGAGGCGCTCCGTGCCTGATTCTCACCCTGCCCCTCTCGGCACCCTGGATCGAACTCTCACAGCTCCCCGAAGAAGCCCGATGCTGCCTGTGCAGCTCTCTTGACCAAATATCCGTTTGTCCTGGTCAACTCCTGCCTGTCTTCTGATAAGTCACTTCTTCCTGAACCCTTCCCTGATTACCCTTGGTTGAGTTCAGGGCCCCATCAAGGGGTCAGTCGAGCCCCCCATCATAATACGGTTCCATTAGTTGCTTACTTGAATGTTTTCCCCACTGCACCATAAGCTCCTTGACAGAGGAGACTTTTATTTCTGTCTCTTAGAATCTAAAACACTGGTACACAATATGTGTTTGCTGTGAAAGAATGACCGGCTGACGGAAGGAAGGAAAGCAACCAAACACTAAAAGATGAGTGAGCTGTCTTGTCCCAGTGGCCAACAGAGAAATCCAAACGCAAGCCAAGTTATTTTAATTCTCTGGGAAAGTAAAAGGGCAGCTAAGTCATAAAAATGAAATAAAATTCTTCATCCTTAAAAAAGTGACCTTATACAAGGTCTGTCAGTACTTACGCTTCTTCCATTCTGGAAAAAACACTGTGTGGGGGTAAGGAGGTAGCATTAAAAGATGCCTCCTTCCATGAAAACCAGACTTTAGCAAACACGGAAGCGTATGCTTATACTGCAGCAATATAACTTCTCTTGCCCTTATTTTTGTGGATAACAGCTTTATCGACATATAACTCACCTATAATACAATTCACCTATTCAACGGTTTTTAGTATTTCAGAGTTAGGCAGCTATCACCACAATCAATTTTAGAACACTTTCATCACCTCGAAAGAAACCTTGTGCCTTTCTGCCATCACCCACACAAACCTCCCAAACCCAGCTGCCCAGCCCTTAGCAACCATCTGGGCCTATTCTGGACATTTCATATATAAATGGAAGCACAGAATATGTGGTCTTTTGTGACTGGCTTCTCTCGCTTAGAATGTTTTTAGGTTCATCCAGGTCGTAGCACGTATCAGAATTTCACTCCTTTTCGTAACCAACTAATATTCTATTACATGAATACACCACACTGTGTCAGTAGATGTTGGCTATTATGACTAGTGCTACTGTGAACATCCACGTGCAAGTTTTGGGGCGGGCATATATTTTCAGTTCTGCGGGGTGTATACATAGGAATGGAATGACTGTGTTGTATGGTAACGTGTGTTTAACGTTGTGAGAGACAGCCAGACGGTTTTCCAAAGGGACTGTGCCATTTTATGTTCCCACCGGCAGTGGGTGAGGGCTCCAGCCCTCCACACACTTGCCGTCACCGTTACCGCTGTCCTTCGTTACAGCCATGCAGGGAGGCTGGACTACCTGACTATGGGGGTGAGCTGCATTTCCCTGACAACTGAGGAGGTCGAGCATCTTTTTGTGTGCTTTTTGGCCATTTGTGAACCTCTCTTACCTTTCTTCCAGCCTTTGGGAGTACTCAGTGTAATGCACTCAGTTCCTGGGTGTTGTGGGTAGATCTCCGGGTCCCTCTCTGAGGACGGCTGGGTACAGCTCCAGGATTCCCACAAACAGGTAGGACTCACCCACTATTACCTTCAGAGGGGATTCCAGAGCTGACTTTGAAGGGACAGTGATTCTTGTCAACAGACAGGGACTGTGCAGCCTGTTGTCTTTGTAAGGAGATGGGTAAGGAGGGGTTGGGAGTGAAAGGCACAGAGAAGAGTAAGGATGGACCTTGTTTGCCTTCAAGGGCTTTGCAGTCAAGCTGTGGAAACACCAGAGCAAGAGTAAGTAAATGCGTGAACGGGGCATAAGCAAGGAGCTCTGCGAACAGAGGGGAAGCGAGATGTGATTCCAGCTTGGGGGGCAGTGAGGATCTGGAAGGGCTCCTGCAAGTAGTGGTGCTGGAGCTCAGCTTATAAAACAAGGAGGATTTCAAACAGCAGGACTCGGGGAAGCACATGCCAAGCTAAGGAATCAGCAGGCGCCACGCTTTAGAGGCAGGAAGAGGGGAGCGGAGGCCACGGGCAATCTGCAGCCCCGAACTCAAGGCCGGTGCCTTTGAGAATCTGAGCGAATGCACCAATGCCCACATGTGGTTCACTGTGCATACAGTCTCAGGGTGTGGGGAGGCAGGGGAGTGGAGGGAAATGGGTCTGAAAGATCGGGTTGAAGCCGGAACAAAGGGGGCCTTCACACCACACTAAGTGTGGCTCTGTCTCCCAGGATACATGGAAGGAAGGAGGGCAAGGCTCAAAGTCTGCAGGATCCCCAAGGGTCTGCACAGCTCGGGACCTATAAACGCAGTGCCACAGCCAGGCCCGCAAGTTCTGCAATTGGCACCATTTGGGTGCCACCCTTCGGGTGCACCGTCCGGCCCCCTCCGCTGCAGCCCACCCTCAGAAATGGACACAGAAAGTGTTCCTCCTTATGCTGAGCTGGCCCATCAGCCCGTCCTTTTCCGCTACTGAGAGGAGCAGCCTCTCTCCATCCCGGGCATCTAAAGTACCAGAGAGCCAACCCTCACTCTGCTCCGTCAGCCCAGAATCAGCACCCGGACCAGCTAGAGGTCTCTTCCTCCTTCCCCACCCCCACTCAATTCTAAACGCACGGTCTTCACCCACAAAAGGGACGCACAGGCCACCACCGGCAGGGCATGTGCTCTGACTCACTGTCCGCGAGGCAGGTGGAGTTTCAGTCCCAGTCTTACGTTGCATCAACACCTTGCAGGCAAGGGCAGGCCGTGGCTTTGCAGCTAGCTGCCCCAGGGCAGACTCAGACGCGTAGCACCTGGCCAGCTACAGCATGGCTATTTTTGCAACTACAGCAACAAGCACTCATCAACAGTCACAAGGAATGGCTGTGAATCTGCTGCAGCAAGAACGTGCGTCTTCAGAAAGCTCTACCCCACCTGTAAGAAGACACGATCCCGGCTCTTTCCTCCACTGAGGCCACAGGTCAACGGAGCAGCAAGGGTCCAAAGTGAGAAATGGGAAGCTCCTTCCAAGAAGACCGTTCCCTGAGCACCAGGTGGGTAAGGCCAGGGTGGGGGGTGGGGCCAGGGTGGGTGGTTAGGGCCGGGGTGGGTGGTTAGGGCCGGGGTGGGGGGTGGGGTCGGGGAAGGCAGGCAGGAGGCGGGTGACAGAACTGTACAGTAAGTGTTTACCAACGGCCCCAACACACGCAGACTATTTTTCCCACAAGGGATCCAACACTGCGATGCAGTAAAGAGTGAATTGGACTATGCCTGAGGCTTGGATCCTACATTTTCTAGTTTTGTGACGTCGGGCAAATTCTGTAAAATGGGGACACGATCCCTCCCAGCTCCCCCCTAAGGGGTTCAGTGAGTAGATGCGACAATAAAGCAGAGGCCCAGGCAGGTGGCCAGCATCTGGGAGGACCATCGGGAAGATGCTGGGAGCCAGCCAGTGAGACTGGGGGAAGCCTGGAAGGGCCTCACTCTTAAGCAACTAAGGAACCCGGTGGAGCAAGGGCAGCAGACACTCAGGAATGGAGGCCAAGGCTAGAGCCTGGCTGTTGGGCCAGAAGGCTAGAGGCTGAGGTCCTGTCTGGCACTGGTCTGGGGGCCATGTCTACACCCTGAGCCTGGAGGGCCTGCGTGTGAAGGGGGTCACAGACAAAGCATGCACGAGGCCCCTGGGCCAGCTCACACTGAGGGGGTGAAGGCAGATGTGGGCAGCCGAGGTGTTAAAAGCAGCTGGCTTCAACTCCCCTCTCCAGGCTTACTCCCCGCCCCCGCCTGGTGTAGCCCGGCTCTAGCCAGACTGCCCTCTTTCTCGGCCCTTCACCCAGCCCTGCCCTCTCTGGCCTCTGTCTCACTCCAGCTGTCCCTTCTGCAGGGAAGGGCCTTCCTACAGTCTCAGCTTCGGGATACCCTGTTCTCTCCCACCCCAATCCGTCACTGTCTTCACCCCAATGGCCCCGAGGGCAGCAGGTCTGTGTCTGATTCTTTCTGCATCCGCAATGCCCAGTGGTGCCTCAACAGAGTGGGCCCCACCAGGATGCGCTAACACACACCAGCCACTCAACTGTAAGGAAGAGATAGAAAATGAGCCACACGGGTCCCTGGCACCTGTCACGTGACCACACATTCCAGGTCAGAGCGTCAGCCGCGAGCTGGGTTGAGCGGTGGCACGGGGGCCCCCAGGGAATGGGGTGGCATCCCCTGTGGGTTAGCGAAGACGATGGCTGTAAACCCCGAAATGCGGAGTGGCTGATTCTCAGGGGCTGTGCGGCCAATGTGTGCCCTCAGTCCTGTGTCTGAACAGCTCCCAGGGCCACCAGACCCAACCCTTCATTATCCTCTCAGAAACGCAGACCCCACCCCCACCCCCGCCTCGCCCCCAGGGGACAGACTGAGAGGCTCACAGGTGACTATACCAAGTCACGTTCAGGACGGCCTTCCTTCTGTAGGGGCTGGACAGTCACAGAGAAGGAGAAGCCTGGAGCCCGTCAGCGCCACCACGCACAGCCAGGGGACAGGGCAGCAGAGTGATCGGGAGCGGGTTTGAACCTAGGTTTGCACCCAGGCTCTCCATTTACGGGTTGTGACACCCTGGGCACCAGTTTTTCCTTACCTGAGATGGGCATGGAAACAGTTTTAACCTCATGGAGCCGGAGTAATGAAACATCTGAACACTATGAAGAGTGCTTGGTCCATGATGCACATTCAGTAAGTATAAATTCTCATTATTCTCATTATTATTACAACGTATATTTCTGTTCTCCACTAATTTAAACTGCAACAGACGAGGGGCGCCGGGGTGGCTCAGTCAGTTAAGCATCCGATTTTGGCTCAGGTCATGATCTCAGGGTTCACGGGTTTGAGCCCCCCATCAGGCTCTGTACTGACAGCTCAGAGCCTGGCGCCTATGTCAGATTCTGTGTCTCCCTCACCCTCTGCCCCTCCCCCCGCTAGCACTCTGTCTCTGTCTCAAAAATAAATAAAGATTTTTTAAACATTAAAAAAAAAAACTGCAACAGAGGAAAACAAGGTTTTGGAGTCACTAACGTCAGCCCTCACTGAGGAGCTGATGAATGAGCCTTCCTGATGCACGACATCAGAACTGAAGAGCTAAGGAATGATATCGCATCTCTCCACTATTTGTTCACTTGGAGATTTGCAGCTGCCTCCCACCATCCAGGAGAGCCCGAGGATGGTGAGCGCTTCAAGCCTAATAATAAACACGATCTTCCAGAAATGCATGCAGCACTTTAAGGTTGACTCATATCTTTAAACACCTCTCTGAGGACACACGATACGACTCTCATGTTACCACTGAAAAAAACTGAAGGAAGATTTTAATTCAGTTTGCTAAATTTCATGCATACTTCTGTTTCTATCAAACTGGATATTGTGATGAATGGGATTTTCTAGGGAATAAGGACACAAGTAGCCACGTTCTATAAACCGAGCCTTCTGCTTGAGTTCTACAGAAACAGAATGCGACGGCTTCGTATCCGGAAAGAGCTGCCTGCAGTGGTTGGGGGGGTGGGGGGGCAGGTGCACACCAGCACCGTCTGGGAGGCTGGAGGAATGAAGGTGTGCACACGAGGCGTCAGGGGGGTCAAGGAGCATGAGACGGGGAGGAAGAGGTGCTAAAGCTCCCATTGGAGGGACAGGCAGCTACCAGGCTGTGAACCTCTGATGAAGAGTGGAAAATTCATGGTTCCTGAATGACACCAGAGTCACAGCAGCCATATCTGCAGGTGGACAGCTCTGTCGGCTCTGCGGAAGGAAAAGAAGAGTAGAACTTTTTTCCCAAAGTAGCAAGAAGAAAAAGCGTTGGCACGTCCAACAGGAGTCCAGGAGTTAGGAAAGAAAGGTGGATGAACACGGAGAAGCTGCCCCGGGAGCCATGGGGTCTATCGGACTCTGAAAGAACGTGCCTGCATCAAGCCAATTCTGGTTTGCCCTCACTTGACGACAGTCCATATTTTAAGCGCCTTGGCTGGGAAAACAAGCGCGGGTGGATGATCTGGTGTTTAACAGGCTCTCAAATGTATATTCTTGGTGGACAGTTACCGGGATGCATGGTACATTTTGGCACAACTGCTTATTTTGCAAATACGCACGGCATTTGTGCCAGATGCTGTTCCAGGCACTTGACAAACACTAACTTATTCAATCCTCACAACCCCCAACCTCGTGAGGAAGTTTCTATTTTACAGAGAATGCCGGCGCACAGTGAGATCAAGCAGCCAGGCCAAGGTCAGGCACGCGCGAGTGCCAAGCTGGCATTCAAACCCAGGCCGTCTGACTCCAGCCCGTGACCGCAGCCTCGCCACTCTGCTGCCTGGTCAGCCACCCTCGGCCCAGTTCTGAGACAGGAAGGAAGTGACCCAGCTTCCCCCCACCACCCCCCCTCCCCGCCGAGAGGCTGGGCCCTTCCTCTTGGCAAGTGCCAGGACCCTCCGCTCCCCAGAACCTCCCAGCAGGCCAGGCTCCAAGGGCCCTAAAAGCCATCACAGAACAACAGCTCTACACCAGAATTCCAAGCACGGAAAGTTCCAGTTTTTCTAAACCCCTGGAGACCAACCCAGGTATACCTCAGAGACATCTAGGGTTTTAATTCATTTTTATTCCAGCATAAAGCTTAATTTTTAGGTGACAATAGAGGCAGTATGTTCTCAAAACAGCCATAGAGAAATCACCCAACGCTATGATCAATGCCCCATGGCCGTGAATTCCAGCTGTCAGGAAGCTCCAGGCAGCAGAGGCCCTTAGAGCCAAGAGATGGGAAAATGCACTGTCTACGCTCGGCGGGAAACCCAGAAGGTAGAGGCCCCCACCCGGACTGGGGGGAAGAGGGAAAGGGCAGCTCTATAGGGCACCATGGTTTGGAAAAGACTGACAGATCTTCTGTCTACGGTCTGTTCTGTCTAGACCTCTGTTCTACGGTCTGAGATGGCCAGGCCAGCCCCTCCGCCAGGAGCCACAGGGAACATCTTGTTTTTCCTTCAGATGCAGATGGGAGAAGACAAGCAAGCAAGGGGGAGGCCACAGCCGGGGCAGTCACTGCTTTCAAGGATTCGCCAGGGGGCTCCCAACATGCTCCAACATTTCCTCCACACACTGGCGGTCCCAAAGCTTTCCTCTCCTGTCTCTTTCTTCTTCTCGCAGCCCCAGACACCCTGAAAACCGGGCTGCTCCCTGCACCCCGAACAAGAACACGAGCCCTGCCGATCACTGCATCATGCTTCTGAGCTGCGTGCACAGGGCGAGGCCGGGGACCGGGCTCTGCTGTGGGTCCACACACGCTGTGTCCCTGCACTGGACAAAGTCAGCCCTCGGGGCGCTGGCTGGGATTCAGGGAAAGCTACGAACTAGGACCCTGGCTTCCCAGGTAAGAAAGGTGTGTCCGCGCAGCCTTCTCCACAGAGGCCTCTTCTTCCAGCCTCTTGGTGCCTGTGCCGAGAGGGGAGCCTGCCGCCCAGATTTCCAACTTGCTGACGTTCAGAAGTGGAATGCCCTTCCTTGGGGGAAGGAGACGTGGTGTGTGTGAGGGAAGGGCGATGGGCCCACACAAAAGATGACTCAAAGGAAATGCGAGCCTCTCTGCAAATCTGAGTATCTGAAGGACTTTCGTGGAGGAAGAGCACATACACATGTTCCACGTGGTCCCGGAGTACAAATCGGGGGGAGGCAGGGAGAGGAATGGGTAGAAACAAGGAAGCTGATTGCTTAAATTTAAAAAAAAATGTTTTTAATGTTTGTTTATTTTTGAGAGACAGAGTGTGAACAGAGGAGGGACAGAGAGAGAGGGAGACACAGAATCCGAAGCAGGCTCCAGGCTCTGAGCTGTCAGCACAGAGCCCGATGTGGGGCTCAAACTCACGGACTGTGAGATCATCACCTGAGCCAAGGTCAGATGCTTAATTGACTGAGCCACCCAGGCGCCCCTGGTTGTTTAAATTTAATATACGGAAAGCATCCCAATGAACATGTCCAAAAATAAAATAATGGGCTGCTTTGGAAGTGGCAAGCTCCCCACTGCAAGAGGTGATCATGCTGAGACCAGGAAAGTCAGGGACGCCCTCAGATGAGGAAAGATGCCCTTCGGTATCTCTCCTCTCTCTGGTGTTCTGTAATTATTTTAACAGAATCTATAACTGTCTGTTAAGGTTAGGAAATATATTTCAATCCATCCTTCTCATTTTAGACAGGAGGAAACCAAGACTGACAGAGAGAATGTGACTTGACTGAAGCCAGCCAGCTCTGTCGCTCTGTCTCCGCACTGAACAAAACTACTCAGAAAGATGAGGAATGCTTGTGCAGAATGTCAGCAAGAGGAGAGAGGCAAGGCGCAGACGGTTCCTATTTCCAAGAGCTGATGACACGCTGCCCACCTGCACACCTCCCTGGGGACCCCAGACTGGCCCTGAACCCAGCCCCCAGGCTCAGCACCAGGAGGCTGAGACTCATGGGAAAGACACTGTAGTAGAAATATGCTGCTTCTGCAATAAACAGCGGGATAGGATTTCTGTAAGTGAAAGGGTAGATACCCAAACTCATCAGATTCAAAGAAATCCACAGTATATGTTTCCTATCATCTTAGGGGGATGCTGGATAGATGGACAGATGGACGGATGGAAGGTAGGCAGGCAGGTGGGAAGGAGAGAAGGAAGGAAGGGAGGGAGGGAGAAGGAAGACAGTACTCTAACACTTCCATATCCATAAGTAAAATTTTAATCCAAATCAGGCTGCAGACCTATGGGGGGGGGGGGAGAGCCCATGCCCTCTAATAACTAAAACCATTCCCTCTCTGGCATATAAGCCCTGAGTAGCCTGCCCGTACACAATTCACACTAAAACCTACACAACGGAAGCTCCCCAGTGATCAAAAGCCTGAAGAAGCAGTCTGAGAACCGACATCCACAAATCTGCTTCATTACACACTCACCACAGCCTCCAGGGACGTTGCTGTACGGTGAGGAAAAGTGATAAAAACCATTCCGCTGGAATGAACATTGGAGAAGAAACCCAGCCTTTGCCAAATGTGACTGTGGACTGTGAGGTAGGAAGGCAGTTTGTGAGGGGTTCAAGCACCAAGGCAGGAACTTGAATGCTCTTCAATGTTTTAATGGAAAGACTGGGATTGCTTTTAACGTGGAAGTATATTCTATGAATCCCCAGAAAATGGGGACTCGGTGACTGTGCGGTGGCTGAGTGTGAAGCTGCAAAACTTCTCCAGGCTAGCTGTTTCTTAACTCAGGAACTATGAAGGCAAGGGCTAGGAGCCATCCACCTAGCATCGTGGGTGCTTGCAGGACAGGCAGAGCACTACGGCCAGGGACCTAGTCCTAGTCCTGACCACGTGACCCCGGGCAAATCTAACCTCTGAGTGCAGTCTCTTCTGCAAAACGGGGATAATGGGGCGCCTGGGTGGCTCAGTCGGTTGAGCTTCCCCATTCGGCTCAGGTCAGGATCTCAGGGTTCATGGGTTTGAGCCCCGCATGGGGCTGTGTGCTGACAGCTAGCTCAGAGCCTGGAGCCTGCCTCGGATTCTGTGTGTGTGTGTCTCTCTCTCTGCCCCTCCCTGGCTCACACTCTGACTCTCTCTGTCAAAAATAAATAAACATTCAAAAGAAGAAAGAAAATGGGGATAACACTACCCGCCTTCCTCCTTGACTGAATTAGCAGGTAGAGCAAACGTAAAAGCAATTTGTAAACCAGCTGAGCACTGTTCAAGCCTAAGGGGATGCAGCACCGTTCTAACCGCTGGCAGGAGGAAAGATGCTGTGTGGGACGCTCATGGCCCACAGCCCACGGGGCGCACCTGAGATGCTCAGGTGTTGGCCATCAGCATGTCTGTCAAAGGGTGTGGGGACTTCATGCTTGGACAAGAAAGACCAAGTGGAGGCCCAAGAAAGTAGATAATTTAGTCTTTGCCTCTGGAACCAAGCGGCGCAGGATGGTAAGATCTTAATCACAAGAGTCTGCATTTGGAAGACGGGTTAGCAAAATGAGAACAGACCCTAGGGAGCAAGTGTCTAGAAGAGGTGGTTAGACTTCAACTTGGTCTTCAGGTCGCATGAGGCTGTCTGTAAGCTCAGGCTCAGCTGCGGGCGGCCCCAGGTCATCCACACGACGACCCCGCGCTGTGGTGCCCGTGTGCACCAGCGAAAGCGCTCTCATGGACAGGCTTGGAGAAGGCGGGGCACAGCAGGGGCCCTGGGGTGGTGAGAGAAAGTGGGCAGAGAGGGAGAAGGTGGGGTGTAACACTTCTGGGGCATGCCGTAGAGTGACACACAGGGACAGGCACATTACAAGGAGAAGCCTGAAACGCTTGAATATCAGTGCTTCAAAAATCCTGGACACCGTAGCGCTGTAAACTGATTTCCGTTTGCAATCTGCAAGACACTACTCATGCCTCCAATCCGGCCACTCTCTACACCTTTGCCATTGGGCTTTCCACATTGGTCTTCTGCACTGTGGACTAGAAAAGCAGAGTCATGTTTTTCCTCATGGCCAAGGGCATGCACTGGCCTATAAACTGTGAAGAACAAAGCCAGTGGCAGCCTCATATAAGGCAGGATGTGGCCTCTTCCTGCCCAGCGCACTGCCTTTCCAAGTCAGGCCAAATTCCTTCTGGCTTCTAAAGCTGCCCCCCACCCTACTCCTCACCGCCACTCTATGGCAACCTCTCTGTGTTCTGGAAACATTTTCCACAACCGGCCAGCACCATGGGAAGATATGGGGTATGCAGGGCAGGGAGGAAGGGAGAGGGCAGCTAACTCTCATAAAGCCCGTCTGTACCCGGTGTTGTGCGATGTGCACGTGACAGCCTTGCATTCCCGGCTGTTTACGGAGCACCCACAAGAACATAGGCCAGTGGTTCTTAAACAGAGGAAAGAGAGAAGGCACAAACTCCCGCTTCAGAATCCCCAGGCAGGCAAATGCATCCTTTCTGCCTACACTGTGACATGTGAGTTACGCACTTCGAACATGCCATGAAAAGGGGAGGCAGAAGTCACTCTATAACCAATATGCTGGGGGCAAGCCGGTCCCACAGACAAGGAAGCTAAAGCTTTAAAAGGTTTAAATATGTTATGCAAAATAATACGGCTGGTAAGTGGTGCAACCGGGAGTCAATCCACCTCTGATTTCAAGGTCAATTGGGAAATTGCAGAGTGCAGTAAAAGCACGTATATTCCCAGAAAATGAAATGAGTTGGCTTTATCCTTATGCGTACAGGTCAGTCCCCCCTACTTCCTCTTAATCTTTCATGCCATTATTTAAAAATAACCAAGCGTTAAAATCCCAAGCTGTTCTTAGAAAACCAGAGCTTGATGATGGCTGGTGGAAGGGCTCCAGGTCAAGGCTCCAGGCTGGACTTGTGAGGCTGGGAGGGAAAGACAATGTTTTATTAGTCAAAAGCCCTGTCCCCAAAGGATGCAGAGCCCTGCTGAGGGAGACAGACACACATACATAGGAAGCATCTGTCCTCTAAGTCATGACTTACTGAATGATCTCGGGGCAGTCAGTGCTGAGGAGCAGGGCTTGTGGCTAGGAACAAGGAAGCCCGCAGAGCTTTCTAGAAATGGTGGCCTCTCACTGGGCCTCAAAGGAGAAGTAGGGCAAACAGAAGGGCAGGATGGAGGGAGGGCATCCTAGGCAGAAGAGAGAGCACGGCCACAGGCCACATGTGTGAGTGAGCACCTGTCTGGGAGACAGCTGGGGGGTCGGTGCAGCCGAAACAGAAGGTACAGGGGAGCTGGTGGGAGAAGGTGGCAGATGGGAGCGGAGGGAGGGGCAGATTGCAGAGGTCCCTGACTGGTGCGCTGAGCAGCAGGTGGGCTTCAGAATGGGCACAATGCCTGGCATAGAGTAAGTGCTCAAAAAAGTTCGAGAGAGTGAAGTCTTGTCAGTTAATTTGGGGATACGGACAGTGTAGGGTGTCCCTTGGCTGCAGAGAACACATTGCTGAGGGCGCCTGGGTGGCTCAGTCAGTTAAGCGTCCAACTTCGGCTCGGGTCATGATCTCACGGTTCGTGGGTTTGAGCCCCGCGTTGGGCTCTGTGCTGACAACTCAGAGCCTGGAACCTGCTTCAGATTCTGTGTCCCCCTCTCTCAGCCCCTCCCCTGCTTGTGCTCTGTCTCTCTCTCAAAAATAAATAAACCTTAAAAAAAAAAGAACAATGTATGTATGTATGTATGTATGTACGTACGTATGTATGTATGTATGTGTGGGCCAGAGGTGGGCTGGGCTGGGCTGGGCTGCCTTCATCTACAGCCCTTGCTGATACCTCTCAGACAGGCCCCCCGCCAGATTCTGGAGCTTCTGCTCCAGACCTAGGCATAGGTAATACTTTCTGGAGCCTTACACCCTCGTCCAGAGCAGAGAGCCCTCCCTGCAGAAGGTAGCTTTAGGCCCTCTGGAGAGCACAGAGCACGTGAGTCAGTCTTTTCCAGTCACAGGCTGAAGGGCCACAGCCCTGGCAAAGCTCTGGCGGGCAGCTCATGGGCACGAAAGGCAGCTCTTGGGAATTTTTGAGACCAGCCAGAAATCAATGGTGAAAACAAAGCATTTACACTTCTGAGAGGCAGCTGCCTCACCTCCACTCCTTCCCTCCGTTCCGTGTGCATGGAATTACGGCCAAATCCCAGCGGTGAGCTCTCAAAAGTAACAAATTAGTCTCTACATGGTGTTAGCACCACCCCGCAGAGAAAGCCTAATCTCCCCATTCAACACGGGGCCAAATTACAGCGTGTGGGCTACCAAGGACCACCAGCAGATGTGGGGTGCAGGCGCGGTGAGCTGCATTTAGAGCCACGGGGTGCTTTGACTCCTCACCTTGAAAGTCCAGGCAAAGCCAAATGGCAGCCCAAGGATGATCTGACACTACCTGTCCTGGTTCTAACAGATGACAGGCCCAGATACAGTGTCCCTCACCCCCCCGGCAGCATCTCGGGCCCCAGGGCCCTCGCCTCGCCTTGCCCCAGCCCCCACCCTTCCCTGCCCCGTGCCTCCAGCTCAGGGCGGTGACGCGTCTTCGGGGGGCCCAGGACAGTGCTGGTCTAGACTATTAATAGCATCCCCTTTCTACACTCCAAGTGTTCTTGTTTAAATAACAATCTAATGGTAAAATTAAATGGTCACCCCACCCATGCTGTCCTTCCTCCCAGAGCAATTTCTCATGATGTTTACCTTACTTACTACTGCCAGACAGATCTAGAAAATAGAATCTTAAGTGGTAGGGCCTAATTCAGACCGCACGCATCCCCCTTCCCTCCCTCTCTTCTTTCCTTTAATTTTCATCCCCAATTTTGTTCCAGAAGGGATTTCTCTTCGCTCGCAAAGATGCCAAAATGCATCCTATGAAGAGCACAGGTATACCGCAAGTTTGGCTCTAAATTTTCTATTAACTGAAGAAAAGGACGTCTAATTAGTTGTACAGAAGGAAACACCAATGAATCATCCAGGGGAAATACAACCATTCGTGGCTCGCAGAGCGGGGAGAAGGGCCTCCAGATAGGCCGTCAGAGAGGCCGCTCTGCGCATCACTAACAAGGACCTTACTACCACGCCTGGGGGCGTGGCAAAGGCTGCAAGGTTGGGGGG